AAGATTTATGTGTCTGTCTGCGAGTATGTCCATCAGTCTGTCTGCGAGTCTGTTTGTTAAGAACTCCTCCTAAATGGTAAGAGCTAGGACCACCAAATTTGGTATGTAGCTTCCTCTCGTCAGAATTTAAAGCAACATCTGGGATGTGCCTGGAACTCAATTGGAAAGAGAGGGGACTGATTGGAGGGACAGTTATACTGCAGAGTTATGTGTCTGTCTGCGAGTATGTCCATCAGTCTGTCTGCGAGTCTGTTTGTTAAGAACTCCTCCTAAATGGTAAGAGCTAGGACCACCAAATTTGGTATGTAGCTTCCTCTCGTCAGAATTTAAAGCAACATCTGGGATGTGCCTGGAACTCAATTGGAAAGAGAGGGGACTGATTGGAGGGACAGTTATACTGCAGAGTGACCACAGCGGGAAGCTTCACAAGGAAGACAGTGGCCAGCTGGAGCTTACCATCTTCTGGCCACTGGCCCAGGTAAGTGGCCACCCTATCTCAAACCCCTCTGCCCCCGGCCCTTGGCTGCAGCGCTGGAGCAGGGGGAAGAAAGTCCCACCAGCTCCACCGCCACACCTCCCCACTTCCTCGGAGCACCGCCAAGGCCAGGCAGCACAGGCCAACCCAAGAAACCACAACCTCCCACACCCCAGCACCACCGGACTGCCCAGCGTGCCCACCCCCTGGCCAGACTGTACAGCCCCCCCTCCCACCCTGAACCAGGACCTGGGAGCACCATCAGGGCTGGCCTGCACAGCCCTCCCACTCCATTCCCTGGACTGAGCCCAGAGAGCACCAGCCTGTGCCACCCTATCCCCCTCGGTCCCCCAGGAGTGCTGGCCTGAGCAGCCCCCTCTTCAGTACCATGGACCAGGACCAGGAAGTGCCAACAGGGCCAGCCTGTGTGTCCTCCCCCATCCAGGGACTGGAGAGTGCCAGTAAGGCAGGCCTGTGCAGCTCCCCCCGTCCTCACAGCTTGGCCCCCAGGGAGAATCTGGTGGGCAGGGTGTGCAGCCCTCCACCCAACCCAGAGAGAAGCCAGAAGGCAGGGTACACAGTCCCCACCATCCAGAGAGAAGCTGTCAGCCATTCCCATTCCTTGCCCTGAACTCCTCCTCAGCCCGTTACCCTAATTCCTGCACCCCATACAACCCTATCCTCTACCCCTAAACTCCCCACATTCCCAAGGCCCTGCCCTGACTCCTGTATCCCCAAAACTGCCAGTCCCCTGCCCTAAAGGAACTGGCCAACCCAGATAAGCCTTTTATGTCACAGTGAAAGGTGCAAGATAAAGAAAGAATGCAGTTCAGCTGGGAAGAGTAGGTGAGAGGAAACATTTCTCCTGGTTTTCCTACGGTGGGGAAAACTGCAGAAGCAGACCTGATCTTGCTACCATTACTGAGCCTAGAAGTCAAGAGACAGTAATTCTGATATACTGTCTGGACATCACATATTGCCCAATGGCTGTGTCTAGACTGGCAAGTTTTTCCGCAAAAGCACCTGCTTTTGCGGAAAAACTTGACAGCTGTCTACACTGGCCGCTTGAATTTCCGCAAGAGCACTGACGATCTCATGTAAGATTGTCAGTGTTCTTGCGGAAATACTATGCTGAGGGGACAATGTCAGCCCTATGGCTACAGCTAGACTGGCATGATTTTCCGCAAATGCTTTTAATGGAAAAGTTTTTCCATTAAAAGCATTTGTGGAAAAGAGCGTCTAGATTGGCACGGACGCTTTTCCGCAAAAGCACTTTTTGCGGAAAAGCGTCCGTGGCCAATCTAGACGTGCTTTTCCGCAAAAAAGCCCTGATTGACATTTTTACGATCAGGGCTTTTTTGCGGAAAACAAATCTGAGCTGTCTACACTAGCGCTTTTGCACAAAAGGACTTTTGCCTGAACGGGAGCAGCATAATATTTCCGCAAGAACACTGACAATCATACATGAGATCGTCAGTGCTTTTACGGAAATTCAAGTGGCCAGTGTAGACAGCTGGCAAGTTGTTTCAGAAGAAAAAATAAGGAACATACCAACCAGAGCAGTCCAAGAAAAACCAGGGGTTTCCGCAAACAAACAAACACTGAAATAAAGAAATTTCACTAGCAAACACAAACTATAAGCAGCTCTCTTTAATACATATCTTTTTTTAAACTTTTGATAAGAGCTAACCACTCAGCCTATGTTTTCTCCCTCCAACTTCCCAAAAGGGAAGAAAGAACAGTCATTAATAACAGACAGCAGCTGCATTAAAGCAACACTGCCTACTCAATTCGTGCTCAGAAGAGAACACTTTCACTCCACCTCGTGGATAGCAAGACCAACCACTTTCAACTGCACTGCTCTAGTTACAAACTATAGAAATGATCCCTGAAAGTATAGCCTTCACAAAACAAACAAACACACACACACAATCACACACACAATCACACACACAAACTTTCTTATCATGGCGCTTATTCTCATGCAACACCTCGGAAACTATGGAATAGAAATCCTAACGCAAGTGCCCGTCCCATTCAAGCACAGTCCAGCTTCTTTTAGAACTCTGCATGTTAGAAATATGTTCATGTCGATATTTACAACCACACGCCTCCTGATTAGCATGAGCAGCGCCTGGCAGCCAATCAAACTTTCCTGCTTTTACTTCCTGAAACTGCGGCCCCTCTCACAGGCTCCTTATATCACATGACAGTTGCTGGACGCAGAGGATACTGACAGGTCAGGCTTTTTTAGCAATTTCTGCAGCTTGTTTCTCCCGCTTACTCTCCATCTGCTCTGAAAGCTTTTGCATGATGATGGCGGTTTCATGTTACTGGTAGCACTGCACTAAATAAGTGGTTCTCTACTTTACAATCATCTGTACCCCTTTCTGTTGTCTGATTTATCTTGTATACCACCAAGTTTCACCTAACTTAAAAACTACTTACTTGCAAAATCAGACATAAAATCGAAGTGTCAAAACTCTGCTAGCTCTTACTGAGAAATTGTTTACTTTTTTCTTTTTTACCACCCCCCTCCCCCAAAATAAATCACTTTAAATATAAACATTGTGCTTACACTTCAATATAGAGCACAAGAACAGAAGAATGGCCATACTGGGTCAGACCAAAGGGCCGTCCACCCCAGTATCCTGTCTGCTGACAGTGGCCAATGCCAGGTACCCCAGAGGGAGTGAATCGAACAGGTAATGATCAAGCAATCTCTTTTCTGCCATCTATCTCCACCCTCTGACAAACAGAGGCTAGGGACACCATTCTTCACCCATCCTGGCTAATAGCCGTTAATGGACTTAACCTCCATGAATTTATCTAGTTCTCTTTTACACCCTGTTATAGTTCTAGCCTTCGCAACCTCCTTAGGCAAGGAGTTCCACAGGCTGACTGTGCGCTGTGTGAAGAACTTCCTTTTATTTGTTTTAAACCTGCTGCCCATTGATTTCATTTGGTGGCCCCTAGTTCTTATATTATGGGAGCAAGTAAACAACTTTTCCTTATTCACTTTCTCCACACCACTCATCAGGGCTGGCTTTAGGAAGTGTGGGGCTCAATTCAAATCGTTTTGGCGCCCCCCCCCCCAGGATTTTTTGGTGAGAAAAAACAAACAAACAAACACCACACCCAACAAACCACAACCACACAAAAATATCACATCAGAAGTAGATCTGATCAAAATGTATATCAATATAGTTAAACATTTTAAAAAAATGCCATCCTTTTTTATGCACAATTTTACATAAAATTAAATCAGTTGCCTTAAGTGTAGGTCAAATATTTTCAATTGCAAACTATCCAATCTTTTCAATAAAGTTTAAACTTTGATTTTTAAAAAGTTACCAGAGAGCATTTCAGTTTTCTGTTACATTGATTTGCTTTTTAAATAGCAAAAAATGGAGTCTTTGTTAAGAAAGTGTCAGTTCTGTGGTCAAATCCCAGTCCTTAGTAATTTCAACACCAATGATTTCACTAGGTAATATGGTACCGCACCACCACTGCCTCCTTTGCATTGCCCTTCAACACACTCCCTGCATGTTGAGTCCAAGGTCAGTCTACACAAGATTTTATCAATGTTTTTTGCTCAAGCGATCACTGAGACAAGACAAGGACTCTCAATTGATTCTAGTCAGCTCTGCCTTTAAACACTGGGGCTGTGTCTAGACTGGACAATTTTTCCGGAAAATCAGCCCGCTTTTCCGGAATAAGCTGTGAGCTGTCTACACTGGCCCTTGAATTTC